TAAGTAGTTAGCAAATTAGGGACCTTATAGCCAATTATAATTATATATATTATTAAAAATGCAATGTTGCTTTATGTATTAGTCTCTTTTTACTTATAAATCTTTTGGTTAGGGTGTTTAGTATTGTAAGATGTATGAATATTTTGGTTAATATTTGCTAATTAGTTATATAATATGAATTGTCCTGAATGAACTACTATGTTTTAAATATTTGATGCACTTTCGTTAAGCTATTTTTGGGTTGTTCTTGTTTAAGTGAGTTTAGTGTTTGGTGTTGGCTTGTCTAAATTAAATAATTAGATAACAAAAGCCAAGTAATGTTGGTAGCATTTTAGCTTAAGTGTAATTAGGCTTATTAGATTTCTAACTTAGTATGCCTATTCATATGCTAAAAAGATTTATTTTGTTAAGAGAATCAAAATGATTAGAATGAAATTATCACATAATAACATGCCATGTATATACATAAACGAATGTAAATTAGAATGTCTAATTTTCACTCAATTTTGTCACACCAGATTGTTTGCAAATTAGAACATGAGTTTTCTTAACTTCCAACTTCCTTAGTGACATTTATTTATTTATTTATAAAATACAAATAGAAACTCATTGAAGTTTCAATTTGATTGTGACTTTTGCATAATAAGAGTCTTCTTTTAGTAGTTTAGTGTACTAAATCATGTTGAAATGCGGGAAGTTTAACTAAGTTATAAATCAGTCAACACTAATCAAAACACATGTCCTAATACTTTAAGATATTAGCACATTTCAAGGGTTTAATATTTAATGTTTTGAAAATTTTATATGAATTCTTTGTATTCATTTTTAGAATGATCTTCTAAATAATAGATGTAGCAGCCTGTTTTGCAATTAGGAAAAGAGCTAATGCATAGAAATGTAGCTAGTGAAAGTGCAATAATAGTTGATTACAATCATAATATAACTCACTGCCAAACTGCAACATTAATTTAAAGGTACTAAACTTATAATCCATTACATGGTTTTCTAATAAAATACTCATTACAATATAAGGTTACATATTTTATCATATCTTATCATACTTACTCTGTACTAATTTAAATTGTTACCAAAACCAATAATCAATGCTTACTCTTTCACGATCTCCTGGATTCTTATCTTGACACAATGCTGAATCTTCGCCATGCACGACTGCTGTTTGAAATGCATCAGTGGTAGCCAGATTAGCTTCTTTAGTCACTTCTCTTGTGCAAATTGGAGTTTGACTTGGTTCAACCAATGATGTAGAATTATCACAATCACTCTGAATATCTTGTTTATTCTTCTTCATTTTTTCAGTCATTGTCATTTCAGAAATCTGATTTTTTACCTCATGCAATTGCATCTCTAGATTTACAATACTTTTCTTAACATTCAAGCAAGTGATCTTTGCATTTGATAATTGACCCTCTAAATGAATTTCTTTATGTAAAAGTTCTTGAAGCTTAGCTTCTGTCTTGCGTTTGTGGCAAGTAGAAGCATTCTTACAAACTAAAGATACATGTCTTTCTGCCATGTGAAAAAAAGAGTTTAAGGAAAATAATATGTTTTCCTTTCATAAATAGCATTGTTATATAAAGTTCAGTTACAGCAGCTCATTGTCTAATGGGCAAATAACAACATGTCAACTATCAAACAGCTGTATACACTACAATCTTAGCAAAGCTGGTTGCCCTATCATGTCACACAATAGTCTTGAGTATGCATGGAGGCATTACATTATATGTTGGATATTACCTTGAAAAAAAGGTTGTTTAGATAACTTCCAACACATTAAAGTCATGATGCAATTCTTTAAGTGTAAAGTTTGTATATAAGGTTTAAGATTAATATTATTGTTACACACTTGAATAACCTATCCAAATTTAGCTAAGGTTTATATTATATTACTATCAAATTAAAGTTTTGCTTATTATATATGCTGTAATTCAATGTATGAAAGTAGTGTCATATTCTGTTGTCTCAAGTATGTATACATATATCAACAAACAAATATTTGTTATATTGAAAAGTTACATTGATGTATAAAGAAAATAATAAGTTTTTGGCATTTATGTAGAGTATTATGATTCTTTGAATGTGCTTGACCTATGATTATTGCAAGAATGACTATTAGAAAGGAATCTTGAAATTAAGCTTTGCTTCAGTTCCTGAAAATCAGGCCTGTACAAGTCCTTTTTTGGTTTAATAATATTTAATTGCAATTAATATGCAATCAATTTGCTGCATTGGTTTTGTTATACATATTGCAGTGTTTGATATTGCAGAAATCAACTTCTAAATTAGGGCTACAAGCTAATAATATACATATATTTTACTATTCTGTGAAAAAATTTCAATGGCAAATTTTGCAATGACATTTACCATTTGCTATGAGGATCATCACAAAGATAAGCTGGTATGATATTTATAATTATTGGTTTAGCATTGCTATTAAGTTTGTTAATAGATGTAGTTGTCTTTTGTAGTCTTTTCAAATAATTTTCTGGTTTAATTTTATGTGTTTATTACTTACAAATTGAAATGGTATATTGAAAATGTGTGTTCATCTACAGCGCATTCCAGATGATTTTAAGAATGTATTAAACGATGGTCCTAAAGGAGTTGATTTGCAATTGCAAAAATATGGTAGGGTTTGGGAAACTACCATGATACATGAAGAGGATGAAAATGGCTGGATGATTGTATTAGCAGATGGTTGGGCAGAATTTGTTAAAGAAAATAGGATAAATAATGGAGATGGGCTAAAGTTTACATATATAGGGGAAAGTTCTTTTCTTATACAGGTTGTTAGACCACAAGGAAGTAAGAAAACATCAGGATTTGCAAGTGACAATAACAAAGGTGGGTCAAGCAAGAGACGTGGCCGCTCACCTGCTTACCATGGCAAATCTGCAAAAATGATTGAGACAAATGAATGGATCGATGATCTTGCACGGAGCTGCCCTGAGCCATATTTTAAATTCATCTTCACTGCTGCTTATCTTAAGAAAGGAGTAATTGTATGTTTCTTTAATATAAGTATTACTTATAGTGAAGTGTATATTGTCTGTTATAGTTCTTTTTCCTGACGAAATTATCTTATCTGTTTCCATTTCACTAATTGCAGAATGTCCCTGTTGATTTTGCAAACAATTGGTTGAGTGAATTTGATGAGTCAACTAATGTACTCCTACAGAATTTTGGGGAACAGATTGATGCTAACCTGAAAGCTACAAAGAAGGGCGGTCTCATTACTAAATGTGAAATAATTGGTGGTGTTAAGGAATTTGCTTCTCGATATAATGTTCACAAGAAAGAAGGTGCATTGATTAAGTATAGAAAAGGAAATCCTCCTGTGTTTGATGTAGAGCTAGTCCTAGTTTGAGCCATGCAAGGAAACACAAATGTTTAAGCTTTAAGAGCAAAATAAGAATAATATGCTTATTAGAGTTCAACTTAGATCTCTGTATTAGTAATTTAAAGTGTCTCTATAACATATTATGTTGTTTTAAAGTTGGCAGGCAATTATTATTTTCATTTGAAGTTGACAATGTGGCCTAGTATTATATATTAGTTTGCTTAACTCATTAAATCAAAGTAGTCTATTTGCCTATCTATATTGGATGTGTTTTGGGCCTGTGCTGTTCTAGCATTTCAAAGATAGCTAAATAAGTGTGACAATGAAATTTTACATGTGTATAATAAACTACATAACAGTATAAGTTATGCACTTTAAGAGTACAATCTATTATCCATTAAATATTTGGAAGAGTTTTGTAATATTGAATCAATTGTAGTGCTATTCAAAGCACCTTTCAATCCCAGGGTAAGAAGCTGTAGCTCACTTACTCTATATAATAGCAGAGTAAAGTGCTATAATCTTCATACTCCACAAGCATTCATTATTTAAAAATCTACTTAACTCTGCTAGAATTCACTTTGTTTCTATGGCAAGCAAAGGTAAAAAGAAGTCTGATGGCAGGGGTCAATGTCAGGCAGCCAAGCAAATCAGTCTGGAAATGGTGGAAGAACGGGTTAGGTATCTTGAACAGAAGGTAGGAGAGCTAGAAGCCATTATTGCTGCTCTTTGTTTTGGTGAACCTGAAGATAAGCAGCCTAGTTCTAAGAGAGGGAGTTCTATTAATGCTGTTGAAAATGAAGCAACACAAAAAACTCAGGGAGAAACCAGCACCTTCAATGCTCAACTTCTTATTCCTGGATCTGAAATTCATCACCATTCTAGCCCATCATACTCAAATGGGAGTGATGCCTCTCATGATGGTCCATATTAAGGTGGGGGTACTTTTATAAGCCATAGTTCTCTTTAGTATGTAATGTATCGCCTATGCGGTTCAAAAGTTTATCAAGCTTTCCTAAATAACTTGCCTAGCGTTCTTTATGTTAAAAGTTGCTATGTACCTTAATATGATCTTTTTTTAAAAATATAATCAATGCAAACTAATGTGATTTGTTACTAATGCTACTGACTGTCTATGAATTGAGAATTAGTATTTGTCACATACAATTGCTTTACTGATAAGAATCAGATGATCATGTTCACAAAATGGCATGTAACTACGTGTTCTTTTTCCTCTTTTTTCAAAGCCTAGCATAACAGGCTATTTGTTTATTGATTTTTTAAACCGTTTATTGTTATAAGAGCTTGGCCATAAATTAATTACCCAAACAGCAATGCAAAATTAGATACAATCAATAATGACAGTAATCATTCCTAATGCACAGTAGCAAATACAACAATAATAAGCCAAGGTACATATAAGCAAGCTGCAGTTACTTAGCAAGGTTCAAACCACAGTACTTGAGCAAAGATAAAATAGTTTAAAAGTACATAACAATGTCGAAACACTTAGGCTTATGGTATGGCTGCTTAACATAGAAATGTCTCAAAAGGTGTCCAGCAGGAACACATTCAAAATGATAAAGCAGTTCCCTTTTATAACATATTCCTACCAAAAGCCAAAAAGCGAAATAGCTAACACTTACTCACGCACAACAGACTTTACGACCCATTTCAAGTAGCCAATTCTCTTGATTGCACCAGTAGGCCCTACTTCAAGCTTAAAGGGCTTTTCTTTTAATTGAGAAGCTATGTCTTCGAATTCAGGCCAGTCTGTTATCTGTTTATACAATATCAACATGATGGTTAATATATATATATAAATTACAGTCAAATTGAAGCTTGGAATGCAACTTTACAGCAAGAAGTTCAAGTGCAAAATAGTGTTTTCTACCTTTTTCTGTATAAGCTCCGTGTCTTTCAGACCTAGCAATGTCTCACACTGCTTTCCATATGCAGTTAAACGAATACTACCAGTGTCATCAGCTGCAGTGAAGCTAACACTCACTCTGTAGATTGATAAATATTGTTAAGAATAAAACAAATGAATAATTTTTTTTTTGTTTGCTTGAAAGCATATACCTCTTTTCTGCAATGCATTGAGCCTTGCATACATCACAGTAAAACTTGAAAGTTTCAACATTAGGACAGTGCTTTCCACATCCATTACATCCAATGTGAGCATTCACATCCTCTTTCTTAGCATTTGGAATGGTAACTTGGAGCCAATGGCGCTCATATGCTGTGGTTGTAGTTGACTGCAAGCAAACATACACATGTGAGAGTAACCTATGTAAGATATAAACACTTAAGTCAGCAAGGTATTTTACGATTACCTTTTTGTTATTAAGATCTTTAATAGTCATTATAACATTAGAGCTGCCACCTTCCCTAAGAGTTAGCTGATGACCCATGTGATCAGAAATGCGATCTTCATTCTCCGGAATCCTATTGCACATAAAATATATATAAGTTAACAAATACTGCAGAAAATGATTGTTTTATTTCATACTGCACAATTACTCACCAAGCCTTGAGTGCATCAACTTCTGGACCAGTGGGGTTGGTATCAATTGTTGTTGACATAGATGAAGCCAATGAGAATCCTACATTAAGAGATTAAAGTTAGAATAGATTATTCAGTAATGAGTTTGAATCAAAACAGAAATTATAGATTGTCACCAGTGTGCTGAGCTGGTTGCAAATGTCGAAAGCTGACAATAATGAAAGATTCACACCAAGCAGTCAGTTTTGCACATTCTTTAGTTGCAAGCTCACCACACAAAGAAATCACAAGTCCATCTCCAAGCCTATAAGTATAACAAATTAGTGCACAGGAAAATGCAAGGTAGCAATCTTATTTACTATCTACATGCATCCATGTAAACTTACTTCTGAATACTATCATCAACAACTACAACATCACGCACATCAAATTCATAGCCGTTGTTAGTTTTCTTCCTTCGTGTGTCTTCCAAATAAATCACAACTCCAAGAATATCTGCATCAATTATTAGAAAGCCAATAAAATCAGAAAACATGTCATAAAATAAGAAACAATACAAATCACAGAACAAAAAGTATCAAAGCGATCATCTTCACTGCTGGTTGGGGGCACTTCAGCTATAGGAGTGTAGTTTGGCAAAATAGGACCATCATTAGGGTTAAGAGGCTGAATTGCAGTCGAGCCTCCAAATGACAAGTAATATTCACCTTCTTTATGGCGGTACATTGGATTGGTGTTTCTGATTGGTCCATCTGCTATCACATATTCTTTCTCATGTTCTAATATACCTTCAAAATTCTCAATTTTATCATCAAACAGAGTTCCCCTTATTCTGTTGCCCTGTATGTGCACCTAAAAAGCACATCAGATCATATTTAATACAAACACGTAATATAAGGATTATATAATGCCAACAATATACCTGATCATCCTCAAAAACAAGTTTTTGATAAGCTTTTTTATTCTCTGGATACTTTGCTGGGGACTTTTCCTTAACCTTAACCTTAATCTTGTACCTTTTGTTCTTAGGAGTTAACTTATCCAGAGGAACATATTGAGGCTTCATCTGTTATTAAGCAATGCTACAAAAGTGCTAGTCAATAGTTGTCCATGATGGAAGCTATGCAGTTTGTCATAAGACAAGCATTAAAAGAATGCTTCCATGCATGCAAATATAATGTAGAAACATAAATAGCAAATTAAAGTATGACATATGCATTAGGGTTATAGTGCACAACCACCCTTACTTAAATACTAATTAAAATCCTAACAGCTCTTACATGTGCTTAAGAAATTAACAAGGAAAAAGAACTAAACACAGCATGAAGAAACTAACAGCATCAACCTAACATAACTACATCAAGTAATTCAGATGTATATTTATGAAAATAGCAAACCATCATGATTAGACTACATATCCTGAAGCCTAATTATATAGACAACTAACAACAAAAAGCAAGCAGCAAGTGTAGATCTACAGCAGCTTGTGTAGGAGCCAAAAAAAATCAGAACAAAGTCAATCCAGTTACTAAAACAACAATGACCAAGCATGTACAACTATAAATTTCATTTACATCAAATGATGCTTGACATGTAAGTAAAGTACATGAAAATGACAAAAAATTAGTTCAAATAGAATGACTAATAAATACAAAGAAGTATCAAGCACACAGGAACATTATATTTTCTGCCATAACAAGCCTAACAACTTCAACAATATAACATGGACAACTTAAATGCATTATAGCAAGATATCAAATCAGGGTTTTATTCTATAACTCAATTAATAAGCCATGCTATTCTGTGCAAGACTAACAAAAGATATGCTCTTTAAAAAGTGAAAGAACAACAACAGCTAAACTACTGAGATATGGTAAGGAATTTACTATAGCAGAAAATAACAATAAATGCAAATAAACCAGAATTGAATAGTATAGAAATCATGATATAAAACCATTAATGAACTAACCTTAGCAGCAGAAATCAGAGAGAATAATCTGCAAAAAAACTTAGCTCTAAAAGAGAAGAATGTTCACGTTTTGACAAGAGAAGGAATCTTTATATAGAATAGATGAATTAATAAGGTTAGAAAAGTAACCCTGTGTAATATCCACTGGAAATAAGCAAGGTTTTATTTTACCTGGATAATAATGAGCTGCATTTTCAGGTTCTCCAATATTACAAGTAATGTCAACTTGAATATACTTTATTGAGACATGTGATTAATTTGATTTAGACTTTTCTGCCATAAAACTTTATTAAAATATTTTGTACCTATAATGTTAATACTAAACTACTATATTTATTATTCATTGCATATAATCTATTGCTGTTTCAAAAATCTAAATTTGAAGAGCTAAGCATATAATATTTAGTGATAGCTAAATATAAATTTACACTGCAACAATACAAAAGAAGTAAATATAAATATATAAGAAGTCAAATATAAACAACCTACATATCATAAGCAAAATCATCATTAATTTGGCAAAAGTTACAACCACATATCTAACCAAAAGCGGTCGTATATTTCTAAAATAAGTTCAAATGTTATAAGCTAACTTGTGAAATGCAATAGCCTCAGCAAGTAAATTATGCTCATAAATAAACCTACATAATGTCTGCAAATTCAAGAAATAAGATCAAGTCAATATATAAAACTAAAAATAACAATTCTAAAATGGCTAAATTAGTCAATGTAAAGAAGATATCATAATTAAAAATAACTTAACTTACCAAACTTCACATGTAATAATATTAGCCAATCGTAGCACATCATATGATACGATATTCTTGACACTGCTTCCAGTACAGGTTGCTGGTGGCTGGGGTGTATAGACAGTTACATTATCAGATTTCTTGGCACGAGAAAGGGCCACATATAATTGACCATGAGAAAAGCAAGGTTGTGGCAAGTATATCAGTACTTGGCTTAATGTTTGCCCTTGAGACTTGTTTATTGTCATAGCAAAACTTAACTTCAGTGGGAATTGCTTGCGTTCAAACTGAAAAGGATACTTACAAGAAGATGAGGGTCTTAAGTTAACCCGTGGCACAAAATATAAGGTCCCTTTATAATGACCTAATACTATTTCACAAATAATTGAATTAGGAAGAAAGCGTCTACAGATAAGACGAGTGCCATTACACATGCCCTTAGAAGGCGCTAAATTGCGCATCAAAATAACAGGGCTTCCTATCTTCAGTTCAAGCTGTTGAGGACTCATTCCTCCCGGACAAAGCGTGTTTAGAAATTCAGTAGGATACAGTGTACAACTGTCATCAAGTATTGAATCATAGCTTTCATACACAGTAGATGTGCCTGGAAACAATTTAATCATATATTCATTGATGGTATCAACATCCTCATTCATTGGTGTAAGAATTGCACGTTCATTAAAAATATTGCTATCAAACCCAGGAACAGAAATTTCAGGGAAAATTGTAGCAGCCAACTCAGAAACAGGATCATCATTCATAGCATAATACCTAATAATGTGTTGTGGAATCTGAACATAAGCACTTTCAACTAACTATAATTGTCCATTTCCAAGAGCAAGCAAAAAAGCTGAATACACCAGATCTTCTCTAGCTCTTATGTTTTCTGTTAATCGGAATTTTGTCAAAATAGGCCAAATGTAGGAACTAAGAACACTTACACCAACAGCTTCCTTTTGTGTACGACGAGGCAGAATAGGCAACACTTGCCTAAAATCCCCTACAAAAACAATTACCTTCCCACCAAAAGGCTGATCAGGATAACAAAGATCCCGAAGTAATAGATCTAATGATTCAATGTTTTCTCGCCGTGCCATTGAAGCCTCATCCCAAATAATAAGAACAACCTCTTTTATCAAAGCAGCCAAACTTCCTTGCTTAGGAACATCACAAGCAAGTGATATTTCAGAATCTAATGGTATCTTAAATCTTGAGTGTGTTGTTCTGCCAGAAGGAATATTAGATGCTGCAATACCTGATGTAGCTGTTGGCAAAACTATTTTTCCTGCCAAACGGACCTCAGCATATAAAACATTATATAAGAAAGTTTTCCCAGTTCCACCAGGACCATCCACAAAGAAACACCCTGGTTTGCCATCTTGAATATAACACATAATACTGTTAAATGCAGCTGCCTGAGCTGCATTTAATTTGTCTCGACAATCAAGACACTCTGGAGGAATAGGTGCTTCTAACGCATCTGCAATATCTCTTGTCACACGCATCCCATCTTGCGCTTCCTCTACTAAGTGGCCTAATTCAAAATATTCCAACGTTTTCCCCATTGCTTCTAAGCTGCTCTTTAACTCTTTCACAGTCAAACTCTTTACTTTAGATGGGCAGTCTGGATATTTATGCTTGAAGTCTTCAGATAAAGAACTATAGAAGCGCAACCAAAGTGCATTTGGATTACTTGGCTGGCAGAATATTAACAGGGTTGCAAAGAGTTGCCTCATCTCTGAAGGCATTTGAGCTTCTGCTGCCTCCTCCAAACATGCAGTGATGGCATTGTCTTCTTGAAACAATCCCAGCTTAATAGCAGCTTCTTGAAATGTTGAGTATAAAACTCCACAAACAGTTTTTAGATGGTCAAATGAAATAGGACTTTTAACTTTACCCAGCAACAAGTGCAAGAAGAAACGCTCACCTTCTGAAGGAACAACAAAAGCCATCCGACCTACATTATTCTTTTTATAACTTCTCTTAATCCACTCCTTATTGCTGCTATCCCATCTGTATTCTGTAATCATTCCAGTATATGTAAGGCCTGTGCCTCTAGGCAGAGATGCATTTTTGCTAAAAAATTCAGTCAAAGCAGTTTTTCACCTCTTTTCATTTCCAATGACTGAATCAAGCTGTTCATGAGCCCTCATGTAAACAGTTTGCATATTTTACATGTGCACAGGTAACAACATGACTGAAGGGGTCATCTCAAACAAATCAAACCCAAATATTCTCCAGGCTGCCTCACATGGAGAAACCCATCTACCAGCCTGAAAATTCTCAATCTCATCTACACCTTCATTGCCTTCTCCAGCAACATTAAAAGAAACACGGTCATGGCCCTTATAGACATACTCATACAAATATTTCACTGCTTGAATAGTAGAGCACACCTCAACATTTAAATGGCAATCAAATAATAAAGATAGGTATGGATTATATGGGATAACCCATCGATTATCAAGATTAGCACCATGAATCCTAACATGTTCTCCTGTGTTCCGCCTTCTATATAATGGATAACTATCCTCATTAGTAGTAGTTTCTTCTACATATGACTTTGGATAATTATATTTACAAGCAAATTCATCCTTAACTTTCTTTTTCATGCACCCACACTTTGGATTTAAGCTACCACAAGGGCCATGCATCATGTGCTTGAGTATAATTTTACGCAACTGAGGAGAATCAGTAGAAGGTATTTCTGCACTAACAAATGTATCATAATCTGCAGGACCAGTAAGCTTGTACCCATGATCTAAGATAATAAGAAAATGAGCATGTGGGAGACCTCTTTTTTGGAACTCTACAACATACACCATAGCCACTAACCTTTCCAAAAACTTGCTCTTCTGTGATTTGCTTTTTCAAAGCAATTAATTTACTTCTGAATACACGAGCAACAACATCTGGACGATCAGCTGCAGTTTCAGTGTCAGCAAGTTCAGCTGTTATCTCTGGCCAGTTAGCGTTACATGTCATAGTAACAAAAAGATCAGGCTTGCCAAACCGCTGAACAAGTGCCATAGCATTTAAATAGCGTTTTTTCATATCACGGGGCCCACCAATGAAAGAAGGTGGCAAAATAACTCGTCGGCCAATATTGTTTGCACTTTTCTCTCCATCATCAACAGTGTCTAGGATACCCTGATACATATCTACTCTGATTGTTTGCTGATTCCTTCTAAAAAAATCAAGTCTAGTATTTTCAATCTTCACATACATATCAACAATGTACTGTTGGAAACAGCGACCTCCAAGAAGAAGCATGTTCCCTGGCCTGATCTGCAACTTATAAGCATAATATTCTCTAGCAGAAATATGCCTGTTAGAGGTGCCTGAACAGTCTGCTGAACCTGTATGTCAAAAAAGACGCCACATTAGTTAAGTTATAAATTAATGCACATATGAGAGCTAAATGAACTAAATTAACAACGTGCAACTGAAAACCTACGATTAGCCTCTTGTTCTAATAAACTATCTTCTGAATGAACGACACATGAAGAAACAGGACTAACGTCCATTAAAGCCTTCTTCTGTGTACTTTTATAAGTTTTTCTCAAACCTTGAGTCCAGCCACAGTCACCATATGGGAAGAGCAGAGGGTACTGCAATGGGTCATAGCATCCATAATAATGACATATTCGATGCTTCCTAGTAGACTTCCCTGATACAATTATATGCGGACCACTATACTCGCTTGAAGACATGCTATCTGGCCATATAGCAGCAACCTCATCAGTGGAAGGTGCATTATACACTCGCTGGTCTAACACTGTGCTTTGACTAATGACAATCTGTGTACTATGGGTAACAGTAAGATCTCGCAATGACCTGAAGAATCGAGCATACGGATTTATACTTGTAACGCGCATAAGTATGTCTACTATGTCTCTCCTAACTTCAAGGAACACTTTTGATCTTGTCACAGCTTCAAACCGTGCATCATAGAAGTAAAGCTGCAAGTACTTAGGCTTTTCATTTCCAGGAAGTAAATCAGGCAAATTGTGATAGATCTGCCCATGCAGCAAAAAGACATAAATTCCCTTTTCAGTCTTTGCATTATAATCACCTCCAAGTGAGCAAAATGCAAACAAACTATTGTACATGCGAACATATTGTCTAAAGTGCAATGCATCCTCGTCTTGAGATGTAAAGAGTCGATGAAGTTCAGGAGGAAAATCGTTTGAAGCAATCTTAATACTTCCATTCCCACAACAAAAATGGAGCCATTTATATTGAAATTTCTTAGCTCCGCATTTAAGACAGACATGAGGAGCCTCCATCTGTAACGAAGCTGTTGGAAGTGGCTGGCCAATTGCAGCAAGTGGTTCTTCTGGAAGCAATATTTAAAAATCAACAACTGGCTAACTCAAATAGTATATACTAATCAAATAAAGAATGAACTAATATGCATACTCTTCTTTTTTGGAGCAGGTGTCTTCTTTTTGGCTTCCTTAGGCTGTCCTAGTTTAGCTTGATTTCTAAGTGCACCCTGCGCACTGCTCTCTCCAACCTCACTAATGTCACAAATACAAACACAACAATAAGACAAAGAACTTGTAAATTCTATTAGCTAATATTAATAGTTAATGGAAAATGACAACCTTACAGAGTCCATTAATGATAATCCATTTATTGGCTCTAAGTAAGTAACAGCAACAATTGCTCCTTCTATAATAAAAAACCTGACACTGTCAAACAAACCACAGTACAAATCTCATCTATAAACTTACACAATTAAACAAAGATACTTACTTGCTTTCCTTGGAGAAGATTGTTTAACTTCCTATCCTGAAACTGTTTTTTTCTTCTTCTTAGTATTAGTACACGCTTTCCTCATAATATTGTCAGCCACCTGATTATCCCCATTGATTGCTCCCTCTATAACATTGTAAATCATAGGTTAGCAATGACTAAACAGATAACACTTAAGCAAAAACAATGCCAGATCAAAAATCTCACTGGATTTCCTTGAATTAGGCTGCTCAGGAGCTGCATTGGCATTTATCTTTTTCTTGCCATTGTTCATGCGTGCCTTCTTTGCATTGTTGTCAACCACCTGACCATCTCTAACAATAATAAACATGTAACTGTAATTTAGTGCTGAACCATTTCACGTATAAAGCTACAAACTTAATAACTCAGCCCAACCTGATTCCACTTAGTTCTGAAAGAGCATCAATTACAAGTGAGCGTTTGCTAGCACGCTGCCTTACGTAAGTCCCATAACTTTTAGCTTTTTCTGTCATATATTTTTAAAGCATTTTAGAAATAATCAGATACAGGACTATTTAAATCCTTACAGAAAAGTTCTATGTAATCTGTGTTTTTTTTAAAGGCTAAATTAAGGCCAAAATCATACCCATGAAATAATAAACTGAGTCAACAACTTGAATTGAAACAAATTAATGTTTGCCCGTATTCTGCAAGGCTTGCAAAATTCAAAAGAAATAAGAATGCATAAATAAAAGAACAGCAACTAATATGTACAACATGATAATAATGAAAGAATACAGCAAGATATACAAAAGAGAGAACCAACATAGATAATTCCATTCAATTAAAGCAACACTGCATTGCATACAAAGACACTGTCTTAAACCATAAGATTACATCCCATTAGCTAACACTACAAAGAAAGGCAAAAGCAAGCTGGGATGACTTAGCAATACAATTTCCACACAAAAAACAACACATTATGCCAACCTAACATAGACTCTTAGATTAAGTACTACAAATTCCCAGCTGAATTACAAGTTTCAATCCAAGCTAATCTAAATCTTCCTACGCTTAAACACAGTTTCCAAGTCATTTGGAACTGGAACAAATAAGCCATCAGGTATCGGAGCAGAGCGTGCAGCAGCATGCTGGCCAAATGAAGAAGAAGCCTTTGGCTTGGCAGGGGCTGCTGGAGGTAAGGCAGGAGTTGGGATCCTATGATAGCCTGACTGAGGCGTGAGGCAGTCACTTCCACCAATATAAGGAGCTAAATGCAGCTCTCCTTGCTTTCCAAGTGCACGTTCCCTAACTGACATATAGCTCTCCCTAGCCAATGCACACTTAATACCAGAGTAAACCCCTTTTCCATAATTAAGATCAATTATGTCGACATTGTAGCGAATGCGCAAGACCTTAACAGCCCGCTTAGCAGCATCTTGCTTTGCTTCCTTGCAAGTACTGGACAAAGCACTAAACACATTCCAAACAAACATTGTCACCAAAAAACACTGTCAGCCAAGACACCCACTTTCCTGCAGAAAGTTCAGCAACCTCCACACCAGAAACCCTTGATTTAGTTGCAACAACCAAAACACGCAACACATCTATGTAGTTAATGCATATGCACTTATCTCCAGTAAGCTTGGCTGGCGGAACAGGCCACTTAGCCACACCCTTTGGCAAAGGCTTATTCTGCGAGTTCAATGCAATGCGCTTCATCTCATAAAGAAAAGCACATAAATCAAGCCTATACATAGCATCCGCAGTTAAATCATGAATCAGCAACCCATTGTCTGCTCGTAAAAAACGAACAGCTTGTTCAGCAGCATTTTCACGGGAAGCATCCAAGGTCAGAGCAGAGCCACCCTCAAACGTATAAGGGGAGAGAATACAACCAGTCACAAGAGAAAGTTCAACAGCATTCCCAGATTCACCAGTTAAACGGTAAACAGGTGGTGCTAGCTTTAGGAAATCAATAACCTGATTCAACAAGCATTGAAAAGAAATGGCAACTTTCAATGGCTCTGTCCCCATAACCTGTGGCCATGATCAATGTATACCATCAGAAGCTAAGCAGCCACAAAACATCACCTAAGCAACTTATAACCCTTAGAAATGCTCTAATGTACACACATAGCTTCACTATATAAACCCGACCACACCCTTAACAAATAATCCTTATGGTAACCACGCATGCATACCTACTAACAGCAATCAAACTAACATCTCATAGCACTATAAGAACATAGAAGACAAAAACCCTAAAACAAATCAAGATATACTGTAACACAATCACACCTTATTCAGATTAATCTAAATAGCAACACAAATAAGAAAGCATAAACACATATAGCAGGTTCTGAAGCACCAAAAACTGCCACCTTAGATGCTGGATACCTACATAAACAACCAAAAACAACAAAGAACAAATTAACCAAATATCCTTTAAGCAACCCAGAATATAAGCAAAACAATAGATTACAACATAGCAAAACAAAGCAATGACCATAATCAGAACCTAAAAAAAAAAACAATAATCAACCCAACAAAATTATTTACATAGCATCCCACACAACCAGCACAAAAAAAAAGGTAAACAAACTAAAAACAGTCAGCATAATAAAACCAACAAAATTATTTGCATAATATATACCAACAAATATGCACTATAACAATATTATTAATTCAAAAGATCAAAAATTTTGATTTCCTTGACTAAGCAATTATCAAAATAATGCTAATCTAAACAATGATCAAATCATCATCTGATATAATAACAAATAGAAGCATCAAAACCAGATATAAATTTGTCCATCCATAAACCCCTTAAATTCATAAACAAAAATAATCAAAAGTCCATATTGCAAGTTCAATCAGTACAAGCTTTGGTTATCAATGAATTTGTTCTTTGAAAGTCAATAATTTGAGCCCAATTTTAATGTGATATCAGAGCAGTACATCAAGAGGTAATACAATATTGTTTCTGTACAATGCTGTGCAATTTAAGTCAAATTAGTGAACATTGTATAGCATAATAATTGAAAATAATCTAATATGTTATTACCAAATTCTTATATTTTCCTTTCACCCCCCGTTTTTTTCCCCTTTTTCTTGCCTTTGTTTTGGTAATTAGTCACCATAACATAAGTGGCTTTTATACATGGCAACACCACAGCATAAGACCTTCAAGTACAAGATCAAGTAGCATGCGAAGACACCTGAAAATCCACTGAATAATAACTTGGGAGATACAACCCACCTTAATATCTAGATTATAGCCGAATAACCACTGGATAAGCAATTGCACCTTACTTGGAACTCCCAAAAACAATCTCTTTCTGCACCTCATCTTATTATCCAGCTAATAGCCAAATAACCACAATATAATGGGCTACATTACTTATTATCTACACCCCTTTTACAATGGAACTTTTTTTTGAAACCAAAGACATACATAATACAAATTCATCAGTAGTACATAATACAAAAATAGTAATTAGTATCAATCCAATATTCTGTACAAATTCATTAGCAATTCTCTAACAGCAATGTTAAGCAATTCTCTGACAGCAATGTTAAATGACATGCAATCAGAAATTCTCAACTAATAATAATAAAACAATAAGACCATGCTAATCAAAATGTTTAAATTATACATTATACAAGCAATATTATATAATTATGCATCAAAAACAAACATAATGAGATAATAATGAGATGAAGATTCTCTAACAGCAATGTTAAATGACATACAATCAGAAATTCCCGACTAATAATAAAACAATAAGACCATGCTAATCAAAATGTTTAAATTATACATTTTACAAGCAATATTATATAGTTATGCATCAAAACAATCATAATGAGATAATAATGAGATGAAGATTTAATACAATGTGTAAATCATTTTATACATTGACAAGAAAACCCAACATCAAACCCAATATTTTTATGCAATTTGATTCAAGATTACAAGCAAAACCAAAATCATAAGTACACAAAACATATCAAGAAAATCAGTAGCTTTCTCTATGCACTAATCCTAAGCTAAACTTGATTGTCTTCATAAAACCACGTGTAAACATCTTCAATCTACCATCTCTTCAACTTGTCACCACACGTGTACCTCCATCACCTGCCAGCACACCAAAAAGTTTTTTTTTTTTTTGTAAAGAAAGAAGCAGCAAGAAAGCAAGAGGGCAAAAAAGGAAGAGAACCATTGCAGCAGAACAAAAAAAAAAATGTGACAGGGGCAAATCCGTCCTCACACTGTTCATAAGGAAAATCCTAAAAGCAAAAATTCCCCACCCCAATTTGGCTTTTATAAAGGGTTATGGTGTTATTTACTAATTTTAGCCATTGTTTTTTATAACGTATTAATAATATATGTCGTTAAATAAATACTAATCCCTCCTTTTCATAATGTTAGTCCTATATACTATTTTGGGTGTTTTAAAAAGATCTACCCATATTAAATATATTTCATTTATAACTTGATTTTTTTGTGGATTGATGACATGACTCTAAGTAAGGAAAATTTTACCTTAAATTATGCAATTATGACTTGTGCTTTCCTAATGAAAAATAAAAAAAGTTAAATAAGGTAAACAAATTATGAAATTTGTTGTACTTTATTATTAAATTCCAAATATATTTGTTTTCTTATTTTATGTGATTGATTTCATATGGGACTAACATGATGAAACGGAGGGAGTAATAAATAAGGCCCTGTTTTGTTCACCTTAAAAAATAATATTAAGTAAAAATAATTTCAGTTCAGTAAAAATAAGTTCAGTTCATTAAAATTAATTTCAGTTCAGTAAAAATAATTTCAGTTCAGTAAAAATAAGTTCAGTTCAGTAAAAATTCAGTTTTCTTAAAGAAGAATTATAATAGAAAATCAGTAAAAATAATATCAGTTCAGTTAAAATAATTTCAGTTCAGTAAAAATAAGTTCAGATCAGTAATAATAATTTCAGTTAAACAAAATTAAAGTGAATCAAACAGGGCCTAAGTCTTATGTCTAGGCAGCCATATTGTGTGACCACGGTTATTTATAAAAATAATCATTATATGTTAGTATGAGTAACCACATCAATCTTCCCATAAGAATAACCCCAATATAATATACGAAGTACAAGTAATATCAATTAATTAGAAATATAAGTAATCTCATTTGTTTGTTCGATTAACCCTTTTTCTTTTATTTTGACTATTAAAGTAATAAATCCCCTTGTTTATAAGAGTACCCCATTTTTCCGTTGAAGTAACCCCTTATCCAATAAGGTAACCCCATTTGATCATCGCCACCACCCCAGTAATTAATTAATTGATTATATATGAGGAAAATTTGCAAATTCTAGCCATTTAAAGTTCGTATTTTGCAAATTGCAGCTTTTTTTTTTTTTTTTTTTTTTTTTTTTTTTTTTTTTTTTTTGCAAATTGCAGCCCAAAAGTTCGTATAAATTGCAGCCCAATTCAACCTTTACATCGATTTACACGTCGAAAAATCTTCGGTTAAGGTTTTAGGGGTCATTTTAGTTCTTAAGGGACCTAATTGAGCTCGAAATTAGCAAAAAAATTAACATAAGTGCCTTGTTTTGCGTAACAAAAATATATCAATTTGTGAGAAACTGTAAAAATGAGACACTTACGTTATTTTTTTTGCTAATTCCGAGCTCAATTCGAATCCTTAAGGACTAAAATAGCCCCTAAAACCTTAAACAAAGATTTTTCGACAAGTGAACTGATAAAAAAGTTGAATTGGGCTGCCATTTACAATTTATACAAACTTTTGGGCTACAATTTGCAAAAAATAAAAAATTAAATGGCAGCAATTTACAAAATACAAATTTTAAATGGTTGTAATTTGCAAATTTTCCTATAAATGAAGTGGTCATATTATATGGTTAGCCACATATAAGAATCTAATATATATATATATATATATATATATATATATATATATATATATATATATATATATATATATATATATATATATATATATAAAGGGGAGTTTTTCTCTGAGTTTTTAGAGAGCCACGTAGGATTTAATTTTCTTAGTGCGTCATGTAGGATTATAAATTTAAGTTGTAACCAATTAAATAAGAGATTATTAATTTCTTTTACAATTAAATAATTCAAATGTCATGTAAGCAAAATTGACGAATGAGATACCAAAGTTTAGATTAATTAAATACTAAATATTATCTTTTGAGATTAGGAATTTTATCTAATTTTGTAAAGCTAATATAATAACAAAAATCACATAAATATGAAAAATATTTTTTAAGAAAAATACTAACAAACCGTGCATTGCACGCGCTTCATCTAGTTAATTTTAATTATAAAGTTTCATAATATCAACTATTCACAAAGTCTTATATGTGGCTAGCCACATGGTGTAGTCGCTTCACATAATCACATGTAGGGGTGAAAGTAATTCGAATTAAAAACGAACCAAACAAAAAACCATACCGAATTAGTAATTCGGTTTGGATTTTTTTTGAATTCGTGTTGGAAAAATTAAAGAATATGGATTACGGATTGGATTCGGTTTGGGGTTTAATAAAACCGAAAACCGAATCACTAACCGAATTTCAACCCAATACTTGTAGCCCAATTTCTTTTTTTAAATTATCCAACCACTTTCCCTTTCCATATATAAACTTTGAAAAAAAAACTAATTCTCAATTCTCCTTTTCTCAATATTTTACTCTCTCACAAAAATGTAGTTAACAAGAAATTATTGTAGGGATTTTTTGGGTGAAGTTCGAGTTTCGGGTTTGAATTTTGCAAAAGAAGGGAACAAATTTCGATTTAGATTGGATTCTAATTTGAAAACCGAATTAATTGGTTTGGATAGGGTTGAATTGAATCTTAATTCGATTTGGATTCGGATTGAGATTTCCGAAACCAAATTAATTCGGATTGGATTTGGTTTTGGCTATAATCCAAACCGCAAACCGAACTTTCACCCCTAATCACATACAAGACAATTAATTAAGGAATAGGGGGCAAGGTTACAATGATGAGCAAGTGGGGTTACCATAACGCGTATGTAGGTTACTTAAATGTGATATAAGGGTTTAAAAAAAATGTTTAATACAAAATAATAGGAGTTACTTGAATGAAAAAATGAAGTTACTTATTTGTAAATTACTTGAATTCATTCGTATAATGAATTTGGGTTACTTTTATGAACAACATGAAGTTACTCTTATAAAAAAATGAGGTTAGTCATACATATAAATGAAGATTACCATTATAAATTAATGTGGTCAAATCGTGTGGCTAGCTACATACAAGACTTACTCTCAACTATTATATTTATTGTATATCTATAAGTTTAGGTCAGTACATTAACATGTGTGTTAAGTTGATTATTTCATTTATTTTGGAATAAAATAGGGTAACATGCTATGCTTCGTAAGGCAGAATCTAAAGGTCTCTCCTCCTGCGTGTGAACAGGTGTTGAATGTGCTTTCTGCATTCTGTGATATTTCAGGACAAATGCTTAATTTGCAGAAGTCATTTGTCAAGTTTAGTCCTAATACTCCAGAGGATTATCGGGCTTATCTTTCTGGTTGTTTGAAAATGCGTTCTGAATCTAGATTGGGTTCTTATCTGGGGGTTCCTATTGATTTAGGCCGTAGTAAATGCTCTGAGTTTGGGTTCCTCTTGGACAAGGTGGCCGAACGCTTACAGGTCTTTGCTGCTCTGCAGCTTTCGCCGGCGGCGAAGCTTGTTATAATAAACTCAGTGCTCATTGCCTCCTTTAATAATATTTTGTCTGTTTTCAAAATTCTCGATTCTATATGTTCAAAAATGGATAATTTGTTAGCCAGGTTTTGGTGGAAGTCCTCTTCTTCTAATCGAGGATTAGCTCTTCGTTCTTCGTTGTTGCTCCATCTTCCAAAGGGTTTAGGAGGATTGGGAATTCGCAGTATTGCCCCTTTTAACTCTTCCTTGTTGGCTAAGCAGAGTTGGAGGCTTATTCTGTGCCCTTAATTGTTGGTTTCCCGGCTTCTGTTTGCGAAATATCCGACCCTTCATTCCATAGGTTCGATCTCGGTTTCTCGTCCCTCTTGGGGTTGTAGGAGTCTTGTGTCGGGATTTTCAGTGTTGTCGAAGGGTCTATTTTGGAAGGTTGGTTCAGGGTCTTGTGTTCGTATTTTGGAGAATTCCTGGGTTCCGGGGGGGGGGGGGGCTGGTTCATTTTAAGGTTCTTCCGGCTGAGTCGGTTCGACTGACTCTTGTGTCTTCTTTACTTGATCCACGTTCTTGCGCGTGGGATGCTTCTGTTATTCATGGCCTGTTTGATTCTATCTCTGCTGCTAGAATTCTTTCGTTGGATCGGCCAGTGTGGTTGATGGATGATTTTGTGTACTAGAAGTTCATTAGGGATGGTTTTTTTTTCAACAAAATCTGGTTACACACTTCTTTGTGAGCCTAGGGTCTTGTCTAGTAGTCAATCTCAAGTTTCTCCATCATGGTGGAGGAAGTTTTGGGCTTTACCAATTCTTCCTAGATGGAAAATATTTGGTTGGAAATTGCTGCATGACGCTCTTCCTTTAGCGACTATTCTTCATGCTCGAGGTCTCCCTATTGATCCAGTTTGTGCTTTTTGTCATGTGGAAGTGGAATCTGTGTCTCATACATTCAGAGATTGTCCTGTTATCTGCAGTCTTTGGCTTCCTGAAGCGTTGGGCATTCAATGGGATCTTATGCAATTTCCTTCGTTTGGTGTTTGGTTCTTGCGTACAATTTCTCATTTTTCGTCATTAAAGGATTGGAAGGGTATTGCTTCATTATTTGCTCTTCTCTAGGCGATTTGGATTTCTCGTAATCATCCGAGGTTTAGGAAAGTTGTTTGGTTGCATGGGACTATCATTGGTTTGGCGTCAGAGTGGTTGCTTCGTGCTATGCAGGCTCAAACTTGGAAGAGGTATTCGAAATCTACTTGTTTGGTTTTTTTGGAGGCTAAGCAGGATGTCCGGTGGCATTGTCTGCGAGGGTTACCTAATATCTCTCCAACGACTTGTTTAATCATAGATGGGGCCTGGGATTGTTCTACTTATAGGGCCGGAGCAGGCTGGCTAGTCCGTGAGCTTTATTCTTCTGAGGTACTAGGAGGTGGATGTCGGGCTTTTATGGCAAGTCCAGCGTTGCAGTCTGAGCTTCAAGCTTGTGTTTGGGGTTTGGAGTTTGCTATCCATAGAGGCTTCTTGAAAATCCAGGTTTATACAGATTGTGCTGCCCTCCTTGCTCTTTTTCCTTCTTCTGGGTCAATGGAAATTTCGGCTTGGTGGCTCATTCAAGAGATGCGGGCTTTAGTTCATTCCCTTTTGGTTTGCCAGGTTCAAAAGGTTCCTTGTTTGTGGGTTACTCCTGCTCACTGGTTAGCTGGTTGGGCCCGACGTCGTCAGTTGTTGTATTTTTTGTTTTAGTTTTTCGTTGACATATGTTGTATTTGTTTGTTTTCTTTTATTTGATAGCTCTTCGTCAAAAAAAAAATAAAATAAAATAAAATAACATAAAACTGATCAAATCTCATAAAGCAACACTGTGTTTATTTCATTGATCATAACTTGTAAGTAACACTACATCAACAACATTAAAAAAAAAAAACCGATAAAATTCTTAAACTAGTCCATCATTATCTTCCATAGAAACAATCCAAATCCAATGATATAGGAATCATAATTATGGAGAAGAGAAAGAGAAAGAGAAAGAGAATAGTTTAAAAATGCCCATACGTTTGCTAAACCCACTCCCCTCAAATCCTTCCCAAATGCCAACGCAAAGAAAAGATCCAAAAAGTAGCGTAAGCGCCAAACTCATTCACATTTTCTCTCTCCTCCTATCTCCATCAAACGGTTGACACTACACTTCATCCACCACACTCAATCTCAACCGCTGATTTCCCAATTACCTCTATTCCTTTGTTTCATGACCCTTTGTCCCCTTGTATGAGGCGTTGCTTTGTTGTTGAATTTTAAGTTGCAGTTTGTTTAAGTCTCCTTTAATTTTCCTTTATTTTCTCTCTTAAATTTAATGAAAATTCCCCTATTAATTTTTGAGAATCCAAACACACCTTTTCTTTTCCTTTTTCCTCATTTTTATTGTTCTCTTTCCCTCCAATTATACTTAGCTCTCTCTTATAATGGTAATGCCAATCATTCACCTAAACACACCTTTTCTTTTTACTTCTTTATTCTTGTTATTATTATTTTTATTATCTTAATTATTGAATGTACAATCTCACTTTTATATACACACATTAAATTGTATACATACATTTAGCTAAATAATAAAAAGATTTACACCCACCTCAAATTTTATTCATTCCCATAATCTCATATTTTCATCATCAGCGGCAGCAATGTCAATCCCTCCATGGTTAGAGCCAATGCTAGGCACTACATTCTTCCACATTTGCCGAATCCACGGCGACGCCGCTAGGAGCGAATGTAACATGTTTTGTTTGGACTGCCATTGTGATGCTTTCTGCTACTATTGCCGATCATCCCGGCATAAGGATCATCAAGTCATCCAGGTTGGTTACTTTTTTCGAATTCATTATTATTTTAATTAATGGAAATGTGACTATTAATTACGGACAGAGAGCCAGGGCGGGGTCACCCCCTCACCCTACTCCTATCCCATTATTATGGGTATGATAATACTGAATACGATAATGCTGTTAATTTATAAATGTATAAATGATTTTGTAATAGATAAGGCGATCGTCGTACCACGATGTAGTAAGAGTAGGAGATGTACAGAAGATGATGGACATAAATGGAGTACAAACGTATGTGATTAACAGTGCGAGAGTAATGTTTCTAAATCAAAGGCCTCAACCTAAAGCTGGTAAAGGTGTTGCTCATTTGTGTGAGATTTGTGGGAGAAGTCTTTTAGACCCTTTTCGCTTTTGCTCTTTGGGTTGCAAGGTATAATTATTTTTTACTCCATTCTTTTTTTAAAAAAAAAAAAATCTTTGCACATAATTAAGTGAATGAAGTTTTTTTCAAGTCCTTTTTAATTTTATTGTTGCAATTTTTTTTAAAAAAATATAAATATAATTACTATTTGTACTCGAGTATATGGTAATTAATTAATTATTGTCTTGAAAAATCTTAGCCCGAAATTAATTATTCTGTACATTTTATTTTATAGAGAAGCTCAAGAGAATTATTTTCTTTTATATTGGCATTCTCATTGTAGTAATTATAAAAAGGGGGGGGGGGGTTAAATTAGGATAATACTTGAATTAAAAAAAAGTTGTATATCACATTCATGATATAATACGATTGTGAAATTCAATTAAATTTTTATAAAATGTATAATTAGTTAATTAATTATTAAATAATGTTGATTAAAATGTAATATTGACAACCCATCTAATGGTGATGATCTCATGCCCACATGGATCATGAAATAAATGACCCACATGATGCAAGTCTTTAAAAGGGAAATGAAAAAAAAAAGGAGGAAATAAAAAGATAAATCACCATCATATATAATAAGTTGATTGGAGTATTATTATGTATAAAGTTCACCATTGATGATCATTAACAATCCTCACATGCATTGTCACACCATTGCTATCTCCATCATGCAACCTAACCAAATAACAAATACTTATTATATTTAACATTGTTAACGTAAAGTTGAGTTTCTCTACATTTTTGGAATTTCTTTTTTAGTACTTGTGTGTTTGCTTGCCTTGGCTATTTTTGATGTGTTATAACTTATTATGTCATATCAAGTGGTAATTTGTTATGATCAAATTCTTGCTAACACTACAAATTTTACATTTTCTTATAAATTCTTATTTACATTTTCAAGTAACCCCATTTTAGGGCTCTCCCATATAATAACCATGACTTATGCTCCATTTTTTCAAGCTCTCCCGTTTTCTTTAGCTTATGCTATATACTATTTCTTAGTCACTTACAGTCTGTTCTATTTTGACAATAGTCACTATCTCACAAGAAAAAGTTAAAACAAGAATAACTTTTAAAGACAAAAGAAGAAAAATGGTGTATTATACAACCACTCTAGCAACTTAAGATGGGTGGTTATACTAATTGGATATGTATTGATCAATAATGTTCGATATTTCAAATGATTACTCCAATAATATACTTCACCTAATGTGTGACCATGTCCTTGATAGATCTTATTGTTTATTGCTTAAATTTAATATGATTATGTTTTTAATATTTTAATTTTGATGGATTGAAATGGTTTTAGCTTGTAGGAGTGAGAAGGAATGGAAATGCAAGCTTTGCTATAGAAGGGAACAATAATAAAGGTGAAGTAGGAATATCAATGACAATGAATAGTAATACAAATACATCAAGTAGGAGAGAAAGAGAAGCTTTGCGTGAAGGCTCACAACAAGACATTTACCCGCCCACGCCGCCTCCACCTCCTTCTAATTCAAGAAGAAGAAAAGGAATTCCTCACCGAGCACCTTTTAAGTCTTGATTTATTACTTAATTAATTAATTAATCAATTTAACCTTGTTAATTAATCATTTACCTACTGCTAATTATGCTTTTATTTCTACCCTTTTCCATCTTCTTTTTGTGTTTTTGTATCATAATTGTGAAAAAATAAACCATTCTTATTATTGACCGGGGTGCAAAATGTAAAATTGTATTTTGCACCAACTTATAATTTTACATAGAAATTGTTGTAAATTGAGGAATTATTACTTGGGATTTAATTTGGAATGTAAATGTTGTGTTATGGCTACAAATCTTATTTATATAGAATGTTAAGGATAATTAAAGATTATAGACTATGAGGTATTGAGAAGAGGAGAAATTTGATTTGTTTTACCTTAGTTTCAACATTTTCTTTAATTTTTTTTTTCAAATTCTATTAATAGCGGGCACACTTAGATGATGCCATACGACATATACATTACACGTGTCACGGAAAATCAAGTACATTCTTATCTCTCATTGTATTATATTCACACATCGCTTCAGTATACACATGTATTGTTGATATATTTAGTATATAATCTATGTGATATCTTTTCTTTTTTTCATCATTTATTGCAAAATTAGGCTTTTTTTTTTACAAGACAAATTTCGTATAGGTTATATCTTATATGACTAATAGATAGAGACTAATATGAATATAACATCAACATATTAATGAGTGGTGAAGAAAAAATTGTCTATCACTTGTTCAATTTCTTATATATGGATCAAATACCTTATACTAGCGACTATAGAATAAAAACTATATTCAATAGGATAATTAAAGACTATGGTAACCCCTCACCCAATCTTGAAGAGAAATTTAATCACAAATACTCGGATACACTTAGATACTGCTAAAGTTATGCATACATAACATTCGTTCCACATGAAGTATATGTACCCATTGTGTGTTATGCAAGCAATGTTTGAGCATACAAATGCTTGAGTGCATAATTGAATAGATATTGTATCTTTATTATTCTTTTGTCATTTTAGTTTCTATATATAATTCTTATGATTAAATTAATAAATTCTCTTACTTTTATATTAACATGGAGAATTATTGCTTTTTGAAACTTAAGTTAAACTTATTTAAATCTCATGGTACCTTGATAAAATAATTGAATACCATATGTCATTATACATAATTAAAATTTTCCATTTAATAATACACAAAGGATTTATTATGGTTATAAGGTGGACACTTTGAAATTGTTAATAAAAAAAATATAATAAAGTAAAATCCTAATATGAAATCGGGTTCTGTGGTTTCTTAAAAGGGCCCACAACCACATGGGCCGTTTACACTAAAGTCCAATTGCTCTAATTAAGTTGTTTTATTGTAATTAGTATACACTAGACCCTAGTGTAGGTACCATAACCTACACCCCCTACAAAACGCAGCGTTTTGCGTTTTTCCCCTACCCCCACAAACTACAGTAACTACCCCCACTAACCACAGTAAAAAAAAAAAACTATCCATATCAAATTATTCTCTCTCTAAAAACCATCTTCTTCATTTTTGTAGAATTTCTCTCTCATCAACACCGTCGAATCGGAACGAAATTCTCTTCAAATTATTGCAAAATTGCTTCAAAACACTTCATAATTACTTCAAATGTCTGATATTCGAGATGAAATTAAACAATCGCAGCAGCATTTTGATAAAGAGTAAGTAATTTTGTTCATTTGATTACGATTTTAGTACAATTTTTGTATGAAGCATAATTTTGGTTCTTTTCCTTGTGATTGTAGAGTGATTTTGCAAAAAAAACGCTTTAGAGAAGAACATGGAAGATAAAACTGGAAAATCAGAGCAAAATGTTACCAAAGAGTAAGTAATTTTGTTCATATTCTTGCGATGACAATTATAGTGCGATTTTATGTGTGAAACCTAATTTTTGTTCAATTTTTTGCAATTGTAGTATGATTTTGGAGAAAAATACTTCACAGACGAGTAATTTGTTGAAAATTTCTGAAGAAATGTATGAACCCTAACTTTTGTAAAACCTAATTTTTGTTAAAATTTTTTGCGATTGTAGTAATTGTTCTAAGATTTTACTGAAAATAACTAAAACATTAACAATTTATTAAATAAAACAGAGACGATGATGATGATGTACCTCTTCAGTCAAGAGTAGACAAATTGAAAAAAAAACCGCCAAAATGATCCAATTGTAGATCCGGAACTTTTAAAAGATATTGACAAGTCAATTGGTACGGATTTAACAATGTCTCCACTACCAAGGTAATTAGTCATTTACAGAATATATTATGTTCATGTCTAATATGCTAGTTGTATTTGATAAAATTGGTTTTATCTTTGTTTAATATGTTATTTGTATATGATCATATTTGATACTCATAATGTTCATTTATAGATATAGTTATGATCATATATTTATATTTGTTCATATGAGTATTTATTGAGATTTAAAAACAAAAGTACATTTCATTGAAACATCATTGTATATGATCATATTTGATACTCATAATGTTCATTTATAGATATAATTATGATCATATATGTATATTTGTTCATTTGAGTAGTCATTGAGATTTAAATAACAAATATACATTTCATTAAATCATCATGCACATATATAAATATGATAATAATCATTTCAGTGATATGCATTCAAACTAATGTCATGTAATTAATTTATAATGTAGTGATGTGCCATTTAGAGTGATACACTTGCTTCAATTTAGAGATGGGAAATCTGAACCATTAACTCTAAAGAAGGTTATACAACAAAATGAATATGGTAATAGTTATGAAAGATACACTTTAAACAAGTAAGTTTATATGTATAAAATAATTGTTTTTACATTCAATTATTGTACATTGTATATATATACCAAACTTATTAGGTAATTCTTAAAATTTTAGTGAAAAAAAAAAGGTTCGAGTGAAATTTGTTATGTCAAAATCAAGACCACCAGAGACAAATCAAACAATAAGGTATAAAAGCTTTATACAAAATAACTAATTATCTTCTTCATTGTATAAATTAGTTCATACTTTAATATCATATTATATAAAATAATTCTGTTTTTTTTAAGTGAACAAAGTGAGAACATTCCTGCTACTAATGCAACAACTAAGAGTGTGTCTGCTACACATAACACAACTGACAAAGAGAGCAGGGATGAAAGGTATACTAATGATCAATTTTATATAAACAAATGTTCATTTTTATAACAGTATATTTTATGTACAATTTATGTGCATTTTTTATTTAAAGTATTTCTTAATATTGATTTCAGCAAGCAAGAAGAAGTTCAACCAAAAGTGCAAAGCAATCCAGTAAAGAATAGTCTTGGCCAAAAGTAAGAAAACTTAAATGTTCAATTTAGATAGACTATATGTTCATTTGAAAATCAGTACAAAAAAGTTTGCTCATGGCCAATAGTAATATAAGTTATATGTTCATTTTTTTATTTACTAATCAAAATTGTAAATTCAAACATATTTTTAATGAAATATCAGAAAACCCAAAGATGATTCAAGAATAACAACATTAAAGGACAAGATGCAAGAAATACATTTAGACATAGAGAGAAACCCAAAGTATGTTTAAATTTAAATAATTGAATTAATTTAATCAATTAATGAATATATTTCAAAGTTAATATCATACATTTACAGAAAGTACAAAGAATCGACAATCAGAATTATGAGAAATCTCAAAAGAATGGAAAAGGCAAGCAAGGAAATCAGGAAAGGTAAATGATCATATTTATTGAATATTTTTGTTTAATAGTCATAAATATCAATTTTAACAATACTATTACTTTTGAAGGTGAAGCAAAAAAGAAAGAAAAAGGGCCAATAGAAGAGAAAACTGTGGAAAAAGGTAAAAATTTTAAAATGTACATTTTTATTACAAAAAATGTTCATATTGGAAAAGCATAATATTAAATATTCAATAAGATTAAAAAAATTAAATTTTAACTAAATAAATTTTAATAGAAGTACAAGAAGGAAAAAAAGGGACTGAAAAAGAGAAAAGCCCTAAAGACAAAACTGTGGAAGATGTCTTTCCAAAGACAACAAATGTAGAAGGTAAAAATTTATAAATGTACATTTTTATTACATAAAATGTTCATATTGGATCTACATAATATTGAATGTTCAATAAGATTAAAAAAATATATAAATATTAACTAATTAAATTTTCATAGAAGGACAAGAGGGAAAAAAAGAGCCTGAAAAGGAGAAAATCCCTAAAGAGAAAACAGTGGAAGATGAGTCTACAAAGACAACAGATCCGAAAGGTAAATAGTGGAAAATGTACATATTCATTACCTGAAATGTTCATTTATATTGTATATAGTAAACTTTTGTCATCCAATTTAATAATGTTTATTTAATCTTTTATATTTGATCATTTCATATGCAGCACAAATTGCACCTGATTTTGTTCAAATTGAGGATGAAACTTATCTTCTAGATCAAGATGATGATAAAGTTTCCACAAAACTTAGTGAGGAGACAGCTCCATCATCACAAAAAAGTGATCAGTCAACCAAAATGAAAACAAGATACAAAATGGTTGCAAGGAAAAACAAAAACAAAAGCCTTGTTGTTGTGCCAAGTGGTAGAATTACAAGGAGCCAAGGTAATCATAATACTTTTCTGTTACACAATAAATATTACACTTTCAAATATACTAACATAAATTTTTTAAAAAACAATAGATGTTCTGTTAGATGAATCTAAAAAGGGAAGCCTGAAGAAGGATGTTGAGCCTGCTAAAGAAACCGCAAAAATAGGACAGAAGAGAAGAATGTCTACAAGGAATTTTCCTATTCAAAAGGAAGCTGATGCACCACCTCCAGCACCTACTCCAATAAAAAAAAATGGCAGGTGCTCCTGCTGAATATCCTCCAGACCAAGGCAAAAAGGGTAAATGTTCAATCTTAATGTATAGAATGATCATTTATGATGGTATATCATTAATGTTCAATTTCAATATATAGGTGGGAAAAAGAAAACTCTAGAAGTGAAGAAAACTTCTAAGGTTGCTGGCAAAAGAAAAGCAGGTATATAATGATATATTATAAATGTTCAATTTCTATATATAGAATGATCATTTGAGAAAACAATTTTGTTCATTTTATCATTTGCTTACTGTACATTTTCAATACTTAAACAAAATTATATATTTAATTTTCAGATGTCAGTCCTGCCAAGAGAAATGCTGGAAAGAGAAAAAAAATACAAGAAGTACCATCAGATGAACCCTCTCAAGATCCTGACAGTGATGATGATAGTGAAGAGTCAGTTTATAGAGCAGAAGAAGAGCCTGTCAGTGAGGATGATTATGAGGTGGAGGAAGAGGAGGAAGAGGAAGAAGTAAAGCCAAGGAAGAAACAGGCAAAGAAAGGGAATTCAGTGAAGGCAAAGGTTGAAAAGGAGGAGCAAAAGATGGTACTGTATGATGAAGGAAAGATTGAAGGTAGGAGAAAAAAGAAAATGAAAACTGAAATGGTTCAAGCAATAGAAACTGATGAAGTTGAGGAAATTCAGGAAGATGAATTTGAGGAAGAGAAATCTTCAAAGAGAGGAGGACATGTGAAGTTCATTGCATGGATAAAAAAGATGACACCTACCCAAAAACAACAAATTATTGATATAGGGTTAGGATCACTTCTTGACATTAGTTTACCTCAACTTGATCAAAAGTTCTGTAACTGGTTATTGGGAAGTTTTGAAGAAAATAGCCAGTATTTTGAACTACCAAAGAATGAAAAAATAGAAATTGAGGTAGAGGATGTTAGGGTAGTTTATGGCTTGCCTACAGGAGAAATTCCAATTGTTGAGCCAAAGTCTGATAAAATTAGTGAGGAGTATGCAGAATTTCTGAAGAAATGGAGAAAATCATGGTCAGGAAAAACTCCATCAGTGAGTCAGGTATGATCAGTTTTAAATGTTCATTTTAAATACATTAAATGATCAAAAGTATAAATGTTTTGTTCATTTTGTTTGCAGATTGTGAATGGATACATAAATGATAAATTCACCAACAACAGACCACCAAGTGAACATTTCATTACTAACTTTTTAGCAGTGGCTGTGAACTGCTTGATGAAATGTGTATCAAACAATCAATGCCATTTCAAATTTCTTTATTCTATGATGGACAAAGAAAACATAAAAAATTTGAACTGGTGTCAGTTTGTATATGACTCACTTATCAAATGTCATGTTGATTGGAGAAAGCAGCAAGGCAAGGGGTTCTACAAAGGCCCTCTTCAATTTCTGATGGTATATTCTTAGATACAAGATGTTCATTTAAATTTAAATAAATGCACTTTTTTTTATTGTTTATGTTCTGTTCCATGTTTTCTTTTTTCTTGTAGTTGTTCTATTTTGATAGAGTTCAGAGGTTAGACAAAAGGCCTCCAAGAACAATTCCTATCATATCTGCATGGAATAGAGACATGGTTCTTGAGAGGTTGAAGATTGAATTAGAATTGGGATTTGGGAGAGGGAAAATTCTACCAAGGATTGCTGCAGAAGTTGAAGAAAGTCCTAAGGTTATAAAATGATCACTTTTGTTAACATAAATGTTCATTTGTATAATCTGAAATGTTCAACTGCATAATTTTTAATATTCATTCATATAGGTTTTTATGGATGATTTTGTTTCCCTGGTAAAAACAACTTGTTCAAACCTGTCAAAGCTTTCTTCAAAATTGGTGAAGGCAAAGGATATCTTCCCTGGAAATGACTTGGTGAAAAAAGTTGATGAAGTTTTAGGAAAGGTGGTAGCTAGGGAACCATCAATTCTAAGCCAAGATGAAGAATTCTTTGGCAGTGAGGATTTCCTAAATGCACTTGCACAAGCTGAGAAGAATCTGATGCAAGGGTCTGAAAAGCAAACAACTGAGAAGCAAATGACTGGGAAGAAATTAACCAAAAAGGGAAAGGAAAAAGAACAAGAATATGACATCAGAAAAGCTTTCAGCTTGGGGTTGACTCCACCTTCTCCAGCCATTGGTAAATTCTAACTAAAAGAGACTATATATCCTAATTTTTATATGAAAAATTCTAAATTTGTGGTCTAAATTGTCCTAAACAGAAACAGGGCCCACCTTTTCAACACTTGGTGATATAATTGAACAACCAATAATTTCAACAAATGGTAATATGTTCATATATTTAATAATAATGTACATAAACTTAAGTAGAAATGTTCATTTCTAATTATTATGTGTAAATACTATTAACTTAGTGTATCTCCAAAATGATGATTTATAATACAGCTGGAGAAAAGGATGTGGGTAAAACTTCAGCAGCTTCAGAACAAAGAATTGAAGAATTTTCTAGAACTGGTATAATGTTCAATTAAAAAGTGTAAAATGTTCATTTACAAACAAGAAATATTCATTATTAATTGTATTATTTTGTTAGACGCAGCAACTGGTTCAAAACTTGATGCTGACACTAGGTCAGATAATGAAGGATTGCCTAGAACAGGTATAATGTTCAATTATAAATACTCAAATGTTCATTTACAAAGAAATTATATTATATCTAATTAAATTTTTTCTTAGATGCAGGATCTGGTTCAGTGGTTGATGCTGACCCTAGGTCAGATGGTGGTGAAAAAAGTGATGATCCAAAAAACACAGTTGGAGGTGGAAAACAAAACAAGGAAGATGTTTTTGAAAAAACAAAAAATGATGAAAAAGTGGAGGGGTAAAATCCTGAAGACATGTCTTACTATTAGGGTTATGTAATGGTGTAGGATAAAATATCTAGATGGAACAATTTAACTTATGTTACTATCGTGTTGTAACTTGAAACTGGTGTTTCTCAAACTATTGTATGTGTGAACATTATTTTGTTGAATATGTAATATGAATGTGTGGTTTATGTTAAATCAATAGGTTTATGTTAAATCAATATCTTTCATTTTATGAATTGAAAATGATTCAGGGTGTTACATAAGAAGCTTTTATTTTATTAATATGTACTGACATTGTTTCACTTTTCAGTGAAAACAAGAAGATTGTTGCTTCATCCTCAAAAGTCACAAAAAGGTACATTATTTATATTAAGTAAATGTTCAAAAATAATAATGAACATTTTCATATACCTAAATGTACATTTGTGTTATGTAATATGACCAGGAATGATGATAAGAAAAAGTCAATTGCAGAAAAGAAGAAAAAAACTGAAAAGGAAAAGGTTGAAAGGTATAATTTCAAATTTATTTATATACACTCAAATGTTCATTTATGTTCCTCATAATTTTCTTAATTTAACAATATTTTATATTGAACAACAAGACCAAAACGCGAAAAGAAAACACTTCCTCCTGCTTTCCGATCTCCTTACTTGGTCAAGTACAAGGATCTGTTTAAAGATGAGAAAGCCATGAACCAAATTGCAGTAGACTTTGCTCTTGGTGGAAAAGATGAAAGGTAATTACTTACACTAATTAAACTTAAGGTTTAATATCTTTTATAAAAATATGTTCACATTCATATTATTAAATGTTCATAATGCAGTGCACTCTTATACTATGATGGCTTGAATCTCATCAATAGAAATGAAATGAAAACTCTTGGAGATGATGTTGAAGTGACAAATTGTGTCATAGATGGATGGGCAAGGTTTCTTAATCATAAAAAGCCGAGAAACAAGATTTATTTCTCAACAGTGCTTCATGTTAGTCTTTCTTCTTTTTTTATATTATTGATTCTATTTTCCTATGATAAATAATTGCTAAAAATTCATTTAACTTCTATATGTTTGTTTGTATTTCAACAGCACATTATGTGCACAAATAGAGTTTGTCAAGAAGGATCATCAATGAAGACAAGAATTAATGCCTTCATAGAAAGAATTGACAATGAACTGAAGTTGAATAAAATTGACAGCATTGTTGGATATAAACAGGTATTAATTCTTGTTTAATACAAATGTTCAATTACCTTCAATATATTGTCCAATAACATTATATAATTTGTTCAGGTCTTCTTCCCAGTATCAACTTCTCAACATTTTTTTCTGTTGTGCGTCAATCATATAGAAGACAAAATTCATATAATTGACAATAGAAAACTACCAAAAAAGGTATCAGTCCAAGCAAAATATGAAGAACAACCAAAAATGATGGTGAGATAATATGTTCATTTATAGTTGACTACATGATCAATTATATTTTATTAATTGTTCATGTCTTCATCACAATACAAACTTCTAAACAATTTTTACTCTTTTTTCTATCAGTTAAAAGGATTGGCAGAGTACATGAAACACCTTGGATATCAAGATGCAAAAAGAATTGAAGACTACACAGTTGTTTTGGAAAAGATGAAATGGCGTAGCAACAATGACTATACAAACTGTGGAGTTTACATTATGAAGCATATGGAAACCTTCACTGCTGATCCTAATGAGAGCTGGATTTGTGATTTAAAACCAAACAATGTAAGAGTTATAAATGATCAATTATTTAAGATATAATATTCATTTATGAAACAGTAAAGATTGTTTAATTAAAATTTGACAATTCATTTTGTTCAACAGGTGGAACAAATTAGAAATCTAAGGCTCCAATACACAGCAGAACTGATGTTATTTGAAGAAAACACTGAATCAAGAGCAAATAGAAGGAAAGCTAGAAAATTTGCAACTTTGTAGTTTCAAATGTTCATTTACAACTATGTATATGTTCATTTCTTATATATGACTATTTT